TATTTTGATATGATTATTATTATTATATGAAGTTAATAAACAATTAAATGTGCAATAAAAGGCATTAATATTGGAAATCATCAGAGAATTTGCATTGAGCGAATAATTTTTTTTTCTTTTTTTTTTTAAATATATCGCGACATATTCAATAGTATTACTTGCTGACATACATACATACGCATGCACTTGGGCATGTATGTGCGTAGCCACGAGCTTTGCGTATGACTCTTAATGCAATATTGCGCATACGCCGCGTGTGTTGTTTAAATTCGATTTGCCATCATTATTTGCCATTAAATTAATCTCCGGCGAGCGGTTGCTGCTGCTGCTGCTGCTGCTGCATTGGCTTGATAAATGAGACGGTTCTCCAAAGTATGCAATGAGTATTATTAAATGCATATATAATTGCATTTTAAGCGTGCACAAACAAAAGGTTCTACCCACGCCCAGAGCAGCCCGCCACCCCACCTGGCCATGCCGCCCGTCAGCCAAAGCTGGAATCATCATTAAAGTAATTATAGCTGTCAACGCGACGTTGGCAAAGGAAGGATGCACAATTTATCTAGGTGTGCGGCAGGGGGCAGGTGGGTGGGCTGCTGCATGTAAACAGGCCCATAAAGGTAAATTGCCAAGTCTTTCTCAATGCATCCATCGAGTCCTCCAGCTATCTATTGTATAAGCTCAGCCAAGCCGCCCCCGCCACAAGCCAGGATGTATTTTTCTGCAAAGTCCTTTCGCTAACAATTTTTATATTGAATCGCACTTTAGTTAGGTTTTTTGTTTGAACAGAACTCATCGAGCTTTTAGCTTAAGATTAACACTTTAATCAAACTAGCTTAAACCACTCAGATGCCGTCAAAGCATTTAGCTGTTAATTAGATTAACTACAAACAAAAACTAAGCTTTCATAAGCTTTCAAAGAATATTTTTGATTAGACTGTGCAATTAGTCATAGTTGAGGCCCTTAATAGAGCTTTAAGCCTTAGATTAACAGATAATTCAAACTAGCTTAAAGCTTTTAGAAACCTTCAAAGCATTGTTAAGCTGTTCTTTTAGATTAAATACAAAAATAAACAAAGCTTTCGTGAGCTTTAAGAGTTTCTCTTTCGCAAGACTGTACATTGAAATTTCTTATCGAGCTTTTAGCGTTAGATTTTCACGCTTATCGCACTAGCTTAGAGCCTATGAAACCTTTAGGGAATTGTTGAGCAGTTAATGAGATTAAATACATGAATAAACTAAGCTTTAACGAGCTTTAAAATCATCTTTTTCATAAGATTTTGCATTGAAATTCCTAATTTATAGTTGAGGCACTTCATCGAGCTTTAAGCTTTAGATTAACGCATCTAACTAGCTTAAAGCTTTAAGAAAACTGCAAAGCAATGAAAAACTATCAAAGGAACTTTTAGACTTTACGCTAACCTCCTTAAAGTTCTTTCAATGCACTTTTTAGCTCATGTCAACTACTAATTTGTCTTTATCGTATGAGTTTAAAGCTTTATTCACACTTCGTCTTACTGCAAATTTGCCGAGTTTCCACTCTAACGATAATATCTGAATTTCCTCGCAGCAATTAAACATTCTGTACAATACAAAGCAACAAAGCAACATAGCTAACAACATGCTTAGTATCATGTTCGTCTTTGGCAAATTGCTCTTTCTTTGCTTTTGCTGCTCTCTTTCATTTGCATAGGCGGATGGGAACGAAAGCAAAAGCCTCAAATCAAAGTCCAAGTCCAAAGTCAAAGTCAAATCACTTTTGGCACTGCTTTGATGTACGCTGCCTACCCCACTCCCCGCTCTCCGACTCGTGCTGTCTCTCTAGCAAGCCTAGCTTATGCTATGCAGATCGTTTCACTCTCTTCTGGTTTCTCTGGCAGACCAAATTCAACGCTTTGCTCGTTGGCGCTGCCTCGCCTGGCTGCACTTCATTACCGCTGCAGCGAACAGAGACTTTGGCCCCAAATGCTTTAACTAAACCCTAACTTACCCCACTCTCTTCGCCTTCCGCGTCCTCCAACCTGCCGTCTGGCATAAGAACTTGGCGCTCTGACTGATTAACGTGATTTGTTGATGAGTTTTGGTGCTGGCTCAAACTTTACCCGCTCTCTATCTCTTTGCCGCCCTCTCTTCATTGCTTCTGTAGCAGTTGTTGTTGTTGTTGTTGTTGTTGTTGCTGTTGTGTTTACTCTTCAACGCTTCTTTGGCTTGTTGACTTGTTGTTTGCTGTTGGTTTTGTTGCTTGTTGTTGTTGCTGCTGCTGCTGCTGCTGCTTTTAATAACTCTGGCAAGCGTAGCATGACGCACTGCGTCCCAGCTTCGGTTGTTCTTGAGTTTTAATTGAAACTTTGCCGTTCCTCACGCGTTCAGCCGAAGCGGCGGCACTGACAGCAGATAAAATAGAGAGGCAGGCAGAAAGAATGAGAGAGAATGAAAGAGACATAAACTTAACGTATCTAACTGTGTATGTGTGTGCAGAGAGGGTTGACTTTCTAGGCTGCATCCAAATGTTAATGCTTTTGATGTTAATGAGACGACATACTTAGCATGCAGATGTTGGCCAACGGGTGAGGGGTAGAGGTGAGAGCTGGATAATATAATAACGGACCAATGCCGAAATTTGCGAGCAGCGTTCTCTTCGTAACGGTACTTGCTGCAGCTGCCCCAAAAAAACCGCAAAAGCTGTTTGTGATGAGTTTTGATTGATTGCTTGCCAGTGGACAAGAGTTTGCACTCAATTTGGCAAGTGCCACGCCTCCTCTGCAGTAGTGGCACGTCAAAGACGTGTCGAGCCGTCAAATGGCCAAAGTTGAAACGGAAACTGAGACTCAACTTTAATTTGCGTTTCTCAACTGCAAAACAAAGTGAAGAGTGCACAATACGGAAGTGTTCGACCGATAAATACCCTGTAGCCGGCGCCAAGCCTAAAAGCGACGCCATGCGACACATGCACAACCTGACTATACCCTATGTGTATACAGGGTAAACACATAATTAAAACACTAAAAGTCAACTGCAAATAGCAAATAGAAGCGCAAGTCAAATAACTGAAATAATCAACAACGAAAATCTAGACGAAAATTCGCCGGCTTATGCTTGACATTGATGCTTGGGCCGTACTCGAGGTCAACAAATAGACTCAACAGAAACGAAAACAAAACAACAACAACAACAACAGCTATTTTAATAGCGGCAGCGGCAGCGGCAGGTGCGTTGCCCATCACATTTAAATGCATTACCCAGCACTAGCAGCAGCAGCAACAACAACTATTAATTACACAATATAAAGTTAACCCTCGCCGTCCCCCTCCCCATCACATTGCCTAGGTCTATTCAAATGCTCAAAGTCAAGAGCAAAAAAAAAAAACAAACTTATGCGACATCGACTCATTAAAATGCTGAGTAAACGCGCCTCGCACCGAGCAACGCGCCCCGAGCCGATCATTAATACATACACACGCGCGCACACACACATGGATACGTACATCAATACCCTCTAGTGCTGGCATCTCGCTTGCGCCGGCGCGCCTGCGGCACATTGCAACGTTTAATAACGGACTCAGTTAAGATTTCAGCCTAGCTTAATTAATTAGGAGCTATATCTACGCACTATATTGAAATGTATATAATTTTGCATAAATTGTTGAGGCTGTAATATTTACCATACAAGTATGTAGAAAACATGCTTGCGGACATGTATGTTCAGTCGCAATGCTGTAAACACCTGTTACTTTACAGGTCAAACATGTTCCATGCTCGACAACAGCCATTGACATGCGCGCATGCGTGTTTCAATAATTTGTGCGCCGCACCGTGGAATTTGACGCTGTTTTATTGCTGATATATGTACACTTATAGCTTAAGTAATTTAATGTGAGAAATAAGTACCGCCATATGAATATTAATTCATTTGATTATTCTAAGGTATTGTCTACTTATCTGAGTACTGCATCTCATCTTTCGATAAAGTGCAGGAAATTGTTTTACACAACAGCGTGTTTAATATACACGATGCAAACAATAAAGTCACAATTATTATTATTATTTTAACATATTGCATGCAATTAATAAAATAATTAATTGATTAAACGCACACATAAAAAAAACTGCTTCTACTTGCGTTGTGCCCTGAATAAATTCGCATAAATAATACGTTTTGGTTCATTTGCTTTATCGTTCACGCCACTGTGCAGACAGCGACAGCAACATGTTGCGACAACAGCGCTGTTAAGCAAGCCTGTTCGCTTAACAGAGCTGCGTCAACCTTACGGCTGTCTGTTAGACAATGATGTTAGTCTTTTGCCGGCATTCAAATCGAACGCGTGTGTTTCACGTCCGTCGCCGTCGCATTTAACAGTTTTGTAAACGGTTCGTAGTTTGCGTAAAAATTTTGTTCTTCGTTTTGCGCGCGTGATTTGGTTCTAGGCGCTAACGGTGTTAACATTGTTGTTATTTATTGCTGCCTGTGACCTTTACTTAATGAAAATAGCATAATAATACAAATTGCATAGCATAAGTTGCGGTCCGCGTGGCCAGCAGGACAAATACCAACAACGGAATTTTTTGTTTTTTTTTTTTTTGGTTCTTAGCGCGGTCTTTTTGGCGCTAGAAGCGCAGTGCAAATAAAAGAGAAAAATAATTTCAAGTGCATTTGTTGCTATTTTCGCTACACGTGAAGTGCTACACACACATACACACAAACATACGCACACATGTATGTAAGCACGTAGCGTGTAAAAGGAAAACCCAAAGAAGCAGCAAAAACTAATTTTTGATGTACAAGCAAATAAGAAGAAATACCAAGTCGAAAGAAATTTAAAACCGGATTCAATACAACAACAACAACAGCAACAATAATAATAACAGCAGCCGCTACAGTCCCAGCAGCCGATACAACAAAAACAAATTTAGTTATTTTTTTTTTTGCTACTGCTGCTACGCACAGCAGCGACGCCAGCGTTGAAGTCTATCCTCTCAGCATCAGCAGCAGCTGCTCTGCTGGCTGTGTGGTTTTGTTGTTGTTGCTGCTGCTGCTGTTAAAAGCGGCAGAGCAAGCGCAACAGGAGCAGCCGCGCCGATCACTGTGCAAGAATTAGAAGCAGCACAGGCAGAGGCCGTGGCAGAGGCAGAGGCGGCCGAAGACCAAGCAAAAGGTGAGTGCAGACTACACAACACACACACACAAGCATGCGCAAATGTTTGCTGTTGTTGTTGTTCTGTTTTGTTTGTGTGGGCAGCAGGAAAACGGTCGCAGGCCCAAAAGTGAATAGTGAACAGTGTATGTGAAAGGGAGAGAGAGAGCGAGAGCGAGACGAGAGAATGTAGAGAACAGAACCAAACAAAGGAGACGGCGATGAAAGAGCGTGCAAATAATGTTAATTCTCTTGAATGAAAATTGAGCAGCAAATAATCTCAAACTATGAAAGTTTTCTTGCAATTTAATTGCCCGATTCCTGGCGTATACAAAAAAGTGAAATACTTATCGTGATCAGCGATCGGACAAATATTATATGTATATATTATACACGCGATTTGCTTAGATTTCAAATCTGAAAAGCTGAAAACAAGTCAGTTTTGCTTGTTTCAAATGTAAAGTCCGAGTTTCTTGGGGCAATTTATTCGTTTATATGTTAATATAAATATCTATTCGTTGCCTTTTTTCAGACAATAATATTTAAAGTCACGCGACACAGACTCTGTAGGGTATTAATCCGTAGGGTATTATTTCTCAAGAATTTACTCGAAATTTATTTGATATCATTTTTTTCTTATAATCGATCTTTTGATTTGTTCTACGTTCATTTTGTTGTATTTTATTGGGATTGGGTTTGATTAATTTGTTTTAGAAGACGCCGTCGGGAAAAGTGAAATAGCAATAAGAAAAGGAATTTCATTTTTTAAATGCAATTATTTTGTAATTGCTTTAAAGAAAAGTATAAAACAAGTTTTGTTTTAGATTTTGGTCTTGATAGACTTTCCCGTCTCGCGTCGCCTTCGCTCTTCCCACTCTTTCGCACTCGCCCTTCCAGTCCATTCGCATCCTTATTTCTCTTTCGAATAAAGCGAATGCTGGAAAACTATTCCAGATCAGGCAAGTTCATTTTTAATGGACAATAATTATAAGAAAATTGAAGTTACAAAAAAAAAGTTTTAAAATAACTCGGCAATTCGGATCTTTTCTAGAATTCTAAACGCGTTAACATTTGGATTGAAATGAGATAAGGTATAATTAGTTGTTGATAGAAATTTCCCCGTATGAAAGAAAAACCATTTTCATCTCCGATTTGCTTTCCACTTCTTCTGTAAGTTCTGGCTCAAAAACAATCTTCGGCACGCCAAAGATTTGATACCCTTGAAAACCAAATCTTTTCGTAATGCTCATAGTGCTTTGCATAGGAACAGACCTACGGACGGACAGACAGGAAGACGGACATGGCTAGATCGACTCGGTTATTGAAGCTGATCAAGAATATATATCTCTTGGGGGGTCGGAGCTGATTTCTTTTGCCTGTTACCTTTCACTCCTCGCACTTTCCATGGGGACAGGGTATAAATATGATCCCAAGGCTGATTGAAATAGGCTGGAAAGGAAAAGAGGAAGCACCTAAGCCACGCCTATTTTTCTCAATAGGGAAAATCGAAAGGAGTCCAAAAATAAATGAAAAACCTAAAGTGTGCTCGGCCCAACGCTCGGCTTTAATTCTCATATGTTCACATATTCATTCATAATTGTAAATCAATGCGAATATCGGTCAGCATGTTTATGGCCATATTGACATATTGCCATATTGTCAGGTGTCTGATGCGCGATGGCGCCATAAAAACCGCCGGCATAATGAGCTAAAAAGCTAAAAACCAACCCATCTGTGAGTGTATGTATGTATGTGTCGTGTGTGAGTATGTACGAACGTATGTATGTGTATATATAAGTATACATATGTATTAATCTGTTGGCATTGCACTCTTTACACACTTCTGCCTTTGGGTCTATGTGCTTTTTGCTTCGCTTTCAATTCATATACATATACATATATGCATATATATATGTATATATGTGTGTGTATATATGTACATATGTATTTAGCTTTTTCCCCCTCTTCGCTTAAGTTGGGAGTGTTGCTTTGTGCTAAATTCGTAGAGACAAATTTTGGATAGTCGAAAAGCTCATCATTTGCATAAACATCCACTCCTTGCATATATTCATCTATATGTATGTATAAAACTGTTCCTGATTGATTTCACTGATTGATTGATTGATTGACTGGGTATTAGGGCAAGGTAGTTGCATAACTTATTATGATGGAATTTTGAAAGATCTTTTTTGTATGTTTCAAAACAGACTGAAAAGCTGCACGAAAGTGTTTTGGTTTTCATTCGATAAGCTTCAAATTTTCGAATAACCTTCGCGAATGAATGAAAACCCGCGCAACGCCGGGCACTGCTTGCTGCTGCATATGCATTCATATCAGCTGGTATATTCCGACTTTGGTCCATGTCCAGTTTCTCACACATTTCCAGTCAAATTACACTTTTCACCAATTTTCGAAACATTTGTTTATGTCAGCAAAAGTAGCTACTGTCAATATGATCGCCAATCAATCAGTCAATCAATCAATCAGCTGGTCAATATAGTTTCAATAATATGTATATGTAAGCACACGACATTTTTGCCACCGTCGCAGTCCCAAAGAGCCGCTAATTGAATTAGCACCCGGCGCAGGAGGAGGGAGGCGAGGCGAATGGCAGTTAGCGATAAATTGGATTAATGCAGATATAAAGAGAGCAGCAGCAGCGTTTAAAGAAGAAGAAGAGAATGCACCAGTCACATCAAAAGTAGTAGAAAGCAAATTTCGAACTCTGCTAATACGAATGTCAATAAGTTCCAATATATACACAGATATGTATATATATATCCAGTGTTTGGATCATTTTGTTCAGTGAGAAACGTTCTTGCAGCACGTCAGGAGAATTTTTGTATAAAAATAAGAGAATTTTTGGAGAGAAAATAACATTCCCGAATGACTTAAAGAGCGTAGACCCAACACTTGCGGAAAATGACAATTAAGAACAATCAACAAGAGATGGAAAAATCCTTAAAATCTTAGAAAAAGTGAAAGAAAAAAAAACAGAATTTCGATACTTACTTTTATCGGTTGTGATATCGATTATTATCGATTGCTTGAAAATGGGGCAAGTGATTTGAAGTCTCCCTCTCCTCTCCCTCTCCTCTCCCTCTTTCCTTTCTCCCCATCTCTTTCTGGCTAGATCGACTCGGCTATCGATGATAACCCAGAATAGAGGTACTTTATGGCGTCGGAGATGTGCTCCCTCTGTTCCATCAGATGTCCACCCAAGAGAGCTTTTACTGTATGTAAACTATATGAGTTTACGTTATTCTCTCTCCCGCTCTCTCTCTAGCTCTCTTCCCCCTTCGTCCCTCTCTCTATCTATTTCTCTATGTCCCGTGTCTGTTATTGAAGGTAGAACCAGGTCAGCGCCGGCGTCAAACGGACAATTCCATAATCAAAGTACAAATAATTGCTGCCAATTTTTTTTTTTATACTTTCTAGTTTCTGTTTTGTCCTCTTCATTTGTTTGTTTTTTCCGGGTCACGTTATCAAATTTTGTGATAAGAACTTTTAACCAACACTCTTTGGCGTGAAAATGTGTTTTTCCATTTGGCACAGGAAAAGGGAAATGCATTTCTTGGCTTCCTTTTTGTCTCAATAAAAATATTGCTATTTATTTATTTTATAGCTATTATCGATTAATCGAGGATGCGTATACGATTCGAATGTATCGAATACTTGTAATTTAAGGAAAATTAATAGGATTTAATTAATGCATTGTTGATAAACAGCTAAGAATAAAGTCCGAGTAATCAGTTAATTGCGTCGAATGTTTGCTTTGCTATCTATCGATATTATAAATATTGTTACATATCGTAATCAGTTTATTGTGTCGTATACTATCGATTCCGATTATAAGTCTACAAGCCATTACCCGTGTTGACTGTATTTATCTAATCGAACGGTGTACTAAATAATTGCATTTGTATTCATTCCATTATGTCTGAACCCCATTCGATTGTTAGATTGTGGCTTATCGGGACTTGAGTTGAAATGCGGTTGGTTCTCTGAAAAGTTGTCACATTCTGCGCGTTATTTGTTAATAATATACGAGATAAAAGTAAAAGTAAAGCAGAGCGTGCAAATTGGCAACATATCATGATGATAACCAATAAAATTATTTCGTATAATTCGTGGGTTTTTTATATAGCAGCCGTTGCCTTATGCGATTCGCTGATCTATTGTTTCACTTTCAACACCCTTAATTTGATTTGCAAAAAGAAAGTGAGCAACGTATATGACCAAAAGGAGAAGACGACAAGACTGAAAGCCAAACCCAGTCGCAAAATCAGCATCAAATTTATCTTTAACATTAACTTTAACATGAACATCGTCAGCGTCGTCTCGTCCACGCCCTCGCGCCATGTAAACTAATAAAAATTAAAAACTGGCAAATGACGCTGATGTCTTTTTAAAGGTTGATTAATGTCTTTATGGCTAGCCGAGCCATTGAGTAGCCGTTTTATAGCCGTTTCCGCTGATGAGTCGTACGAGTCGAATGAGTCGAATGAGTAGTCATTCGATACATTCCCCTCGTTAACTAATCTTCACGTGCGCTGCTCTCGTTCATGATTCATATTCGATTTTCGGCATTTCGAGCAAACGAATTGTAATTGTATCCTATATTCGTAGATCAAATATAGATTATGTCTTCGATTTCGCAAATGTTATATATATATATATTTTTTTTTTTTTTGTCTGCAATTCGAGTTGCTCCATTTCGGAACCCGGAAACAATGTGCCAGACAATTACGTACCCAAAACTGAACTTATTCATGATTTATTGAATGTTTGCTTTCGATTTGGATATTGTTTTGCCCCTCTCCACTTCCCTTCCTGTCGCTTGATGCGGCAATTGAAATCAATTGGACAGCTGGCGTATAATTATTTGTTATATATTATATTCGCTGATAACACGAAACTCACATGACCTTTCTGATATGCTTAGTTGTGTTTGTATAATAGATAAGATGATTTATAGATGCATGTGCTTATAGTATTTCGAAAAAGTTGCTCCCATTGAA